GGTGTTCCATAAATCCTAACTAGACAACCAGCTAGCACGGTTTCTAAATTGAATTGCTAATTTAACAAAGGTTCATTTAGTATCTGCCAAATAGAAGGGACCTGGAAGATCCTCCTCTGGTCAGAAATATCAGGGTTAGGATGTTATTAATTATAGTTCTGAGAAAATCCTACCGCATCTACAGCCCCGTGGAATGTTAGCTTGAACGGAATGGTAACCCATACATATCATTAACTATGTTAAATGTTAGTATTGAGTCAATGCACATTAAAAAGACCTGGAACACAAACTCTCTTTAAAAGGGAAACGGTGGTTAAGATGAGGATCCTAATTAAGTTACAATGGGGCATCTACCTTTTCTTTTTCCTAGGGTCTCACATCCTTCCCTACGTTCTCTTTTTGCAGTGCTTGACTACTCTCTAGGAGCACTGGTGGCATCATGGGCTCCATGTTGGGCCACTAACCGCAGGGTCAGCAGTACAAAACTACCAGCTACCCCTCAGGAGAAAGATGAGGCTTTCTACTCCCATAAAGATTTGCCATCTCAGGAACCCACAGGGGCACTGCTACCCTGCCCTCTAAGGTTGCTATGGTCGGAATAGACCCCAGGTCAATGAGTTTTTTATTCTTTCAATTACTCTCTAAAGTCAAAGTGAGGCAATTTAAAGACATAGCCTGGATGCTTAAAGAATGTCCCTCCGGCTGGTGAGCTTGAACTCCTGACCTTGGGCTGAGCAGCCCAACAGGTAACCCCAATGCCATTAGGGCTCCTCATGTTTGTGCAGTGGCACTTAAACCATAAAAGTTACCAATAAATGGCTGGAAGAATGTATATCAAATGATTAAAAGCAGTTTTCAATAATCTATTTGAAGTCAGGATCATTTCTGCCTTATGATTGTGTATCTTCTGTATCTTTTATGGTGAACACAAATTGTTCATAATACAAGTTATTAAAATCTAGCAAGATTATTTCAACGAAATGTGTGCAGAATTTGAGTCTTGGAAAGACATGTACAGAAACATCTAGAAATAAGATCACCTATAATTCTGTCTCATATTCAGTTATGCAACTATACATTTAAAAAGTTAGAATGATGGTCTCCTCCAACACTTGGAGGGAAAAAAAGAGAGCGATGTCCTCCCAAAAATGTGTCCCATTGAAGGTCAGGCATGAAAGATTTACAAACAAATCAAAACAACCAAGGGGAAGAGATGCTAAGTCGACTGATGCTGCAAAGGCTTGGAACTCAAAGCTTGGATCTCAGTGATTAATGTGAATGGGAACACTTGCTATTGTCATCCCTCTTTTTAACTCCAGCTGAACCAGCATTGCATTTTCGGAGGTGACCTCAACATGTTTTGTGGAGGTCTGAAAACACGGTGGAACTCTGGAAGACATTTAAAGGCAGTCACACCACCCTCATTTCACATGGAATTCCACCCTTGATTTGGCTTTGTATTTCATTTTAGAAGCCCTGTAGCACTTCCAGAAGCTTCTTAGTAATATTTTCCATTCCAAATGAAAACAAAACAAACAAACAAACAGCACAGTGGCTCTCACGTTCTAACATGCACCAGAAGCACTTGGGGATTGGTTAGGCCACAGACGGCTGAGTCCCATCTCAGAGGGTCTCATCGATAGGGCTGGGGGGGCCTGGTCATCTGCATGTCTATCAAGTCCCTGGGTGATGCTGACACTGCTGGCCCAACAATCACACTGTAGGACCACTGGCTTAGGAAACAGATTGAGTTCAATGTTTCTGCAAAGCACGACTATAAAATCTAAGAGTTAACACCTAATGGATTCACCCATCGCCAGTCGAGTTGATCCTGACTCACAGCGATCCTAAAGGACAGGGTGGAATTGCCCCTGTGAGTTCCCCACACCGTAACGCATTATGGGAGTAGAAAGCCTCATTTTTTCTTCTGAGAGAGGCTGATGGTTTCAAACTGCTGACCCTGTAGCTAGTAGCCCAATGCTTACCCCACTACACCACTAGGGCTCCTCCCACCATAACTGGGTACATGTGAATTTTAGTTTTAGTCGTTAAAAAAAGTTGTTTGTTTCCACTTTGTAAAAACTCCTTTGGGCTCCAGAGAGGCCAACAGGTCACTGGCCCTTGGCAAAGATGGTGTCATAGTCCTCAGCCCTCCCCACCCCTTGGTTCACACAGCACCCCTCCAGCTAGCAAGGGAGTGCTTAGCCGCCGCACGACCAGGCCTCCTTGTGAACACAGTGGGGTCTTTCCAAAAGCAGGCGGCGGGTAGGGACCTCCTCCCCAGTCACACATCTGCATATTTGTAGTTGACCCTAGACTAACTTGGGTTTGAACTGCCTGGGTCCACTAGAGGTGGGTTTGCTTCTCCCGGTGCTGTGGCAGGCAGCTCACGTGGAGTGAGCACCCACTTACCACGCAGCGTGGTGGTATTCATCTCTGCCCGAGCGTCTCCCCACTTGGAGGGATGGAAGGGTGAGGGGAGATGCACTGCTCGTGGGGAGATGATTGGCACCACACAGCGTCGTGAACGATGCCCCCAACGCTTGCACTCCTTGCAATTGCAACGGGAAGAGAAAACTCCGTGTAGCGGTGGGCTCACGCGCTCCAGCCCTGTGCTGTCCAAGGGTCAACTGGGCATGCTAATTTACGACTGGCGTGGGATTGGCCTCATTCTAAATACATGTTGCGATTTCCTGGCTTTTTAATAGCTTTTACTCTCCATCCAATGGCAATGCCCGACAGGATGAAGGGGAGAACGTACCTGGGGATCCACGGGTCTGAGCATAGGAGGTGTCCGTGCAGGCTGAACCCCACTAATGCTGAAGGACTCTGATCTAGGAGGCAGGTTGGGGTCAGATATCCGGTTGGCAACCTTGTGAGGCATGGCAGGTGAACTCTGCCGGTTGAGCCTCGAACGTTCTTCGACCTAGGAGCAACGAAGAGTGTACCCCAGTGAAGAGAAGTTGATTCGTGTCCAGCACAGACTGCCTATCGTCCCCTGCACAGCCATTTTCGTCCCCGTATGAGCAATTCCTTTTAAGAAGCCTCCCCCCCCCAAGTCTTCTTTCTGTTTCACACCTATAATTTGAAAAAAAAAAAGTTCCTGCCAGAGCCAACCCTAACACTAACAACCCGATAGGACAATGGTCCCACTATCACCTGTCTCTCAGATGTTAGTCATTTCAGACAGCTGAGAATTTAGGGTCAGCATGAGGGTTTTAACTTTCATGGACTGGGATATTGTCTTGCGGATTGGTTCCAAAGCCAATGGGGTCAGTGAGGGAGACAGACTGCACTGGACAGAAGCAGGAGGCTGTGGTAGGCATTGAACTTGCTTAGGGAACACACGTCCAAGATGGTTTGGGGTTGGTGTGCTCCCTGACTCACGGGATAGGGAGGGGAAGAGCAACTGAGGAGGCGGCTTGCTTGATGCACTAACCCTCCCTTTCTCCCCCTGCCCCCTGACAGGCAGGTGGGCATTGCTGGCAGCCTCTTAATGAGTGTGGCCCGTCTTAGACCGCGCTTCCTGTATCATTTTCTCGTTGTCTCTCTAGGCCTCTTTCCCTCCACTTGTCTCTCCCTCCTCCGGAAACACACTGCACCTCCTCACTCTTGCCATCTCCAATGCAGACTCTGCTGTCTCGCTCTCCCCTTTCTGCTTTCCTACATGGAGCGCAGCTCCTTCCCTTCTCCCCTCCCCTCCGCCCTTTCATCTCCTGTCAGTTCCCTTCTATTCCACAGGCCCTCTGAGCCCCACACTGATAGGCAGTGCTGACCCTGGGACAGGTCCGACTTAGCCCGGGACCAGGCTGACAGTGGCACACAGTCACAGAAAGGGAGATGAACATCAACAGGGTGACCACCGGGCAGCGTGATGGGAGGTCCCCCACAACGGCCAGAGGCCAGAGGACGATTCTTCCTGGCCCATCTTGTCCTGTCCTCTGTTCCTGTCAGGGCCACCTGGACTGTTTACTTTCCAACTCTCCCAGGACAGTGCAGGCTGCCTGCACCTAGCTGACCCTGCCACTGGGTTCTCTGCTGCTGACACAGCTTCTGAGCTTTGCAGGGGCCAGCAGGGAGCCCACAAGTCCATGTTCCGTATTCACGGCTCTCTGGTCGTTACTTATTTACTTTTCACTACCTAGTTCATTTGAAATAAAAGTTCCAAAGAACATTGTGTTCTGCTCTTTTGCCCCATTTTGAATCTTTCTCAGACTCAGGGACAGCATAAGTCTGTCTCTTAAATTGTCATATTATCCTTAACATTCTGCCTCACAACAGAGGACAATTTGAGCAGCCCCCCCACCCCACCCCCACCCACCCCCCGTGGCTGTGCAGGGGACATACATCTCGTTGTTTATACAGGTGACTTTGGTTCTAAAATTCTGCACCCCGGAAGCTTATTCCAGACCAAATAAGATGAGCTGCAAAAAGCCAGGAATATAAACCAGAACATGTATACTTGAGTGTGTATGCACGCAAAGTATTGCACCAGCAATAATTATTTAACTATTGCATTGAGCAAAAGAAGAAAGGTAGCCGAGAGAGAAGACCACAGAGTACGAGGAATCCCCCAAAGTCAGCAAAAGATAAACTGAGGCCAAGGCATGCACGGTATCACTTTTCCAAATGCCAGACTCTTTGGGAAGAAGGGAAGTTTTTCTCGGCCACCAGAATGGGTCAAATATTAGCCATTTCCCTATGTCCTGGGAAGACTGCTCACAGAGAAATAACCTACACAAACGCCCCTTCCTCCCCACTCACGAACTGAACATCTGTTACCCAAACCACCACTGTCTGAGCTTAGGAACATGAGACCCAGAGACTTTCTCAGATACGTGCTTGACTTGTTATTCGAAAATCAAGAACCAGACAGATTCAGGCAGTGAGGAATGTTTACAGTTATTAGTGTGAACTGTAAATTATACAGGGGGAAGTCAACAAATAGCTTACGTGCTCATTGGATGCTGTGACCCTGTGCTCGCTGGTCACATGAATAACTTAGTCATAAAGCCCTTTGGCAACACTACTCGGGCATGCCCCTGCTTTGGGGCATCCTAAGGGTAAGGGATGCTGTCATTCATCTGGCATGTTTAAAAGTCAAGCTTGCCTCAAGATGCAGGGCCTGGACTAAGCTTCCAAGCTCCATGTCTGGGCAAAGATGCCAGGGGAAAGTACAGATCCCTCCATGAATGGTGTCTATCACTTAAAAACAATGAAGTAAACCCTTCGTAAGATGGGGAGTGAACGAGGCAGATCTGCCACTGGGAAGAGGTGGCCGCAGATGATAGGAGGTGGCTGTGATCTGGCCATGTGAAATCTAAACCACAGACAATAGACACACACCTCTCACTCCATGTGGACCCTGACGGCCTGGAGATCCAAGGCCACATGTGCTGAAAAGTAGACACGGCGTCCCTGAATTACGAAAGGCTTCCATTCCAATAACTCCATCTTCAGTTGGCTCTGACTAAAGCAGAATCTCTTTGTTTGGTTTTCGATTATCAACTTTCGTGATCGGCATCTTTAAAAATTATTGTTTTTGAATGTCTGCAGGTGAACATCTGAGAGTGACAACATCTGCAAATTACATGCTGCAACACTGCGTGCAGTACATAGTACCAATGATAATATGTATAATAAAACCACACTTGTCCTAAGTGCAGCTGGGCCTAACTGGAATCCACTGTAAATTGGTGATGACCCATATTCCATCTGCATTTGTACAATGCCTGCAGTGATAACAGCACACTCACACACATTACTGCCCATGATTCTCCCACCCGTGAGACAGGAATGAGTGCAGAAGCAGCAGCTAAGGAGACTTGCCCTGTTAGACAGCTAGACAGCATACGAACTTGAACTCAAACACAGACTCGCCCCTGTTAGACAGCGAGACAGCATACGAACTTGAAATCAAACATAGACTTGCCCTGTTAGACAGCGAGATAGCATAAGAACTTGAACTCAACCATTATTTGGACTCCTCTGTCCTGGTTCCCTCTTACCTGATATCTTAAGAGAAATAGGCAGAAGCTAAGGAAGTGGGCTGCCAGCTACTCCTCACGAGAAAGATGGGGCTTTCTAGCGTCATAAAGATCGACAATCTTGAAAACCCACAGGCATAGTTCTGCTCTCTGGTCCTCTAGGGCCACTATGAGTTGAACTAGACTCCATGGCCGTGAGTGAGTTTGACGGAAAGAGGGGAATAGAGGTGTAAACCCTCTGCGATGATAATCTGGGAACTTCACACATAAAGTAAATCCTATAAAGAGGAAAATATATTAGGACAGAAAAGTGGTTGGCTTTTTTTGTTTTTGTTTTTTTAATTGGAACTTCAAGGCCCAATGGGCTGGTGGAAAATGGAGACATCTTGGTCATCACTTGTCAAACACAGCTGAGGCCCAATGAGCCGAGTGCAATCTCGGGCACCACTCATGCAGCTTTCACTGCCGCAGCTGATGCAAGACAAGTGATTCTGCGTGTGTGTGTCCAGTATGGAAGGGGCCCATTCTTGCTACTAGATCGAGACAATCACGTGGAATTTTAAGGATGAGAAGGAAAACAAAGGCATCTCAACCTAGAACGTGATCTAGGACCCCTTTGGGTGCTTTCACCAAACAAATCTGATGCCCACCCTGATCCAGAAGGGGCAGGTCGGTTTAGACCAGGTGTTAGCAGCCCAGCAACTGAGTTCAGACAGAATGCGTAAGGGGAGAGGATCCCTCTCCTCCTTTAACACGGAGATACTAATGTTCTTTTCTGGCTGAAATCTGAAAAGCCAAGCCAATGTGACATTCAAGACAGATAGAATTCTCAGTCAAAGGAGGGAGAAAAGAACTCATTAAGATTTGAAAATGACTGAGTGTTTTCATTTGTTTTTACCGCATCCGACAAATTAATCGGAAAGGTAATGAGAAATGCAATGATCGCTTCTATTTCCAAAGTGAAGAAACAAAAGCACAGAGCATGAAGCATTAGAACAACATGGCACTGCTGATGAATCATTGTTGATCTGAACGAAGAGGGAGAGGTAAGAGGATGCAAAAATACTCAGATAAGGAGAACGCCACGTGGGTGAAAAATAGGTCCAGAGTTGGGTGAGAAGACCAATGCTAGAGGAGATTTCAGAAGAGGCTGAGTTGGGTGACTGGTGGCTGGGCGGTGTTGTCAATGGCAAAAAAAAAAAAAAAGTCCAAGCCCTATATCGCAGGAGTGGTGTGGCCATAGCTACCCACGCAGCCCTGGTGAGGCCAGTTTCAAATGTATATCCCAGCAAATGATACATTTGAAAAAACAAAATCATCCATTTTTTTCTCCCCATTCTATCTCCAAAAAGAGAGCTTAACTGTTTCACCAGTTGATAATAAAGATGCTGATAAAAGTCTTAAATTCTGGTCACATCCAAAGTCTTAGAACACGTGTTACTGTTTGGCTACTTTGAGCCTCATTGACCTTCCCAGTATAAGAAAAGAGGTCTGTAAGTAAGGCTTCAGAAGAAAGTTTACAGATTGCCCATGAGAAGCATGACCATATCAAGCAGATAAAGATCTTCACACTCATTTTCAGTCCCTGCCTTACCAGCTTCAATAAGCAGCAGAGTTTAGAAAATGATGGCTCAAACCAAGGCGACACTCATTTGCTCTCGTTTGTACAGCAGCTGTCCCAATCCCCAATTTAGCACGGTCCCTCATTTTATCATCTTAACATCTCACCTTTCTTCTGAAATATGGACACCCACTCTAAGGCTTGGGAACTGTTTCAGGAATAGACTGGTGGTTAGTCGGAAGAGAGATGATGTTAACCACACCCAGGAGGAGAGGACTAAATAGGAAATCCCCATAGAATGTTCCCATGCATGCCTGGACGTGCAGGAAGCCCAAAGGAAGAGCGGCAGCTGCTAGGATGTCTGGGAAGATGTCACCCACCAGAGGTGGCCCCGACTGATGGTGGCCGGGGAACCTCACATCAGGAGTGCTTGAAGACACCTCGACGTTGTCCGCACGCCCAAGCGCTCTGTGTCTCTTACAGCTAGGAGCTTGGCCAGGAAGCCTACGGGGAAGAGCAGGTCTAGAGAGCTGCCTTGATGCCATCTGAAAGGACTTGCCTCCAGGAACGCTGCTGCTTCGGAAAGGGGGGGGACTGCGAACTAGTTCTGGACCAAGAGGATAGGCTAGGAAGTTGAGTGATGAGGACAAATAGCAACTAGAAAACAAAGACGTCAAAGAGGACAAATTCAAGTCAGAGTGTGCTGGGTGGAGGCTGAAGGAAGGAATTGGAAACTGCCCCAAGCTTTTCTCCCTCTTCTGGTACATTCTTGCACGGGGGAATGGCGGCGGCGGCGGCGAAAGAAGGAATTCTTGGATGCTTTGCAGGGAAGGATGGTCATCTCCAGTGGGGTCTGGTGGTCTCTCTTTCCTAAGCTCATGCTTGGGACTGGGAACCCCGAAGGCCAGGTGGTCAGGCATCAAGGAGAGGTCACTCAGGGATGCAGTGCTTCGTAGAGGGGGTGAGCTGCTTGCGAAGATGTGTGAATTCATGCCCCTCCGGCCCCAGCATCCACGTGAGTCTCTAAGGTCCTTCCTAATTCCAGTTATGGTCAACTGGGGGCTGGTCACCTTGGAGATGTTTGGAGAGGACACACACATGACCTTAGACCCCAACCCTGGCACTGAGCTACATCCTTGGGAGCACGGTCTCTTTGAAGATCTCACGAAGGTCCTTGAGGCTTCTTGGGGCTTCAGTTGTTCTTCAGAATCAAGCCTGACAGGATAGGTTGGTCCACTGCTGTTCTGTGGGTGATGCGCAAACAGGAGTCTTGATCGGGAATCACTAATCCCTGCAGGTACTACTGGGCTTGGCTTAGCAAAGACGCGTTTTCCAGCTTTCTGGGCACCTGCCAAGGTCACGTGCTTTGGGTCTGGCTTAGAAAGGAGGTTAGTGGTGGATGGTGGTGGCGCCTCTCTGCCAGCCAGGAAGCATGGGAGCTGCTGTTTAGCAGCACAGTGATTCTGCTTAGCTGGAAGAACAGGTGGATTATTAAGGGGTCGGTGCAGTACCTGGGAGTAGGATCACAGAATCGAATTATTGATCTGAGAGAAAGAGGCAGCAGTTAGACAAGGCAACTATGGATCATTTACACGCTAGGGAAAAAAGTGATTAAAACAACTCTCCCCTTTGATACAAAAGTGTTTCTCTACAGATCAACTTTGCTCTTTTAAGTTTTCAAGAAAAGTTTTAAAAATCACTTTTGGTAAAAACACGACATCGCCATTATAAATGACTTACACAAGGTACAAAAAGTTTACAAATTCTATCTCTTTAGGACATCATTTCAAGCATTTCCTATATACGTGAGAACGAACAGAAAAGTGAAAGAGATGAAAATGTTTTTGCTTTAATTGGACCCGGTGATACCAATTTGGTTCCGGTAATGCTGTAGCCTAGATAAGTTTTGATGAATACCTAAGAATGTAAAACCCCAAACCCAAAGTGACTGGCTGAGCTCATGAAACGAAAGCAAATCACCATAAATGAAGGCCCCCAGGAGTGCTGACAGACGTGGAAAACAGAATGCTAACTGCCATGGCTAACTAGGATGGCCGGGGTCGGGGGTTGGGGTGTGGTTGCTGCTCTCGGTTAGAATTATTACTTTGCTACTTTGCTTTACCTGTTTGCCTATCACACCTCCCTACCCACGGCCCTCCTATCCAAACAATTTTAAATGAGATGTTTAAAGAGCTAAATACAGAGCCAGGTTCCCCCCAAATCCTTCTTTGTTTGGGAAGCTGAGCAAATGAAGGGCCGTTACTTGAGAAGAATTTGCAAAGGAAATATTAAGGACCTCTGATCAGAAGTGATCCCTAAAACCACCAAGCCTGAGGTCAACCGTGTGCCAGTCTTTTGCAATGACACCAACAAGAAGCAACAGGCCCCCCAGTATGGGCTGGTCCTCACGCTACCTAGAATTCCAGAGTTCTCAATCCTATTTTTCCATAGAATGACCCCCACCAAAATCATGATGCCACAAATGTAGTGGGTCTCCCACAAAGTAAATGATGATGCTATTTCTGGTGGCTGCCTTAAAAAATCTACTGTATTCCCAAGAACCACAGAGGGCACAAGGTATATGATTTTTCTCTACAGCCATCATTATTTCTATAGACAGTAGTTCGGTTTCTTTGAAAGTAAAGCCTGTGTCTTATAATCCATTGTCTTCCGATGTAGCAGCACTAGTGTATCTGACTGTGTCTGTGGGAGGAACTCAAGGCCAGAGGCCTGCCCGGCACGGCTTGGCAGTCCTTTCTTCCTTACCTCCTTGGCCCAAGCTGGCTTCTCACTAGGACTCATGCCTTCTTTGTAGTGATACAGCGGCTTCTTCTCCACTGGCCTCTGTTCCTGCCGCTGATGCTGAAGGGACACCAAGTAGTCCCTTTCTTGCTTGAGCTGCCGTTGCAGTCTTTCGGCTTGCCTCTGTTCTTCCAATTGTTTGCGCTTATATTCCTGAGCAGATCAGGAAAGAGGTGGAAAGGAGAGGCCAAATCACCACATAGGAACCACTGACCAGAAGCAGGTAAGTGTGTCATGGAGGCCAAAGGGATGATATATAACGAAAGTCCTAAATAGGAGGGGCCATCCAAAAGGGGGCGGGGAAAACATGGAATGAAAAGGTCATGGGAATTTCCCACAGACTCGCCAACCCCTGGTCTTTAATAGAACTACAGGATGGGGCCAGGGGTGAGCCGTGGATGTAAGCTAAACCTTCCGGTGGGGTATCAGCACAAAGGTGTGGGCATTTAGTGAGGACACGATTGCTTTCATTTAAATCCCCGCTGAGGGCCGCCACTTTCAGGGCCTAGTCCCCCCAAAAAAGGCAATCCTAAGGGTATTTGGTGGGTCGGTACTTGAGCCCAATAAGGAGCCCTCTGTTACCTGGTTTAGTCATCAAACCACCAACACATGTATAATGAGTTATAAACCCAAATAAAGGTTGAAAGGTATTGGCTAAGTCACCTTTTGTTTTATAAGACTTGGGCCCCACAAAAGCCATTCACAGCCTATGCACAGGCTTAAAAAAAATCATCAGAAGGCCACTGCAGAAAAGTCCAATTTAAAATACATCTACACATACACAAAGGAGTCCATTTGTAGAGCAGGGCAATCATAATAAGAAAGTGCTTCCAGGGGAAGCTGCATGAGCAAGAGACACAAAATGTTCCCATCGCAAGGGGAAAACGAATAGTCTGCAAATGAAATATGACTGTCAAGCAGAGCGGGTTTTTATGGAAGAGGGGCCTTTTGTTGTGATTGTGTTCCAGCATGTTGTAAATGGCCTTACAAATCCCTCTGCCATAAACACAGTGGGCCTTGCGAACAGCCTGAACTTATAATAGGGCTGGATTCCTGTTAATGCTTCCGAGATGGATGGAGTTAATAAAGAATGCATAATGAGTCTAGGAAATGCACTGCGCATTGGTAAATTAGGTCAGGGAATGTATTCTGTTTCTGTGGGATTCGGGAGGTAGAGGGGACTTGGAGGACGCCCTCTTTGGAAAGGGGGCCACTGACAGACAGACAGACCGATAGGAACAGCATGAATACAGAGCAGGTGAGCTGGCGCTTGGCTTTCCCATTACCAGAAGTAGAGCTTGTTCATGCAGTAGCTGCTGCTGCAAGATTTCTAACTGCCTCTGCTCCTCCTCTAACTGTCGCCTGATGTACTCCTGGAGCGGTGGCAGCAGCGAGTTGAGAGGGACGCAGAGAGAAAGAGAAAGAGGAGAGAAAAAGAACCGGTAATTCCAAGGGGACAAGAGCTGCCAAGTAAGGTGTAGAAGGAAGAAGGGAAATAAATACCCAGCCACCTCCTCACCGAAGCAAAAGCATTTCAATGTAGTCAAAAGCACAAGCCTTCTTCCTGGACAGCTGCTCAGAGCACCACTGCTTCCACTAGATTTTCATAAGCCGGACTGTATTTGACAGCTTTTCATTCCAGGTCCTGCTCTTTATGGGCTGCCTGGCATTAACAGTGCCATACATTTCAGAGGCTCCTGTGCAGCCAGCAGGGATAAGACACTTGTTGAGTGCCATCACGGGCCGGCTTTGTGACGGAGCCCTCCTGCAGACTTCCTCTGTGCCCTGAGCATCTGATTCTAACAGGGAGCCAAGAGAGGGGTCTACATCAATGACTCAAGTCATGGAGACCAGAGATTGCACGAGGAGTAAAGACCTTCTGAAGCAATGAAAAAGTAGGACTTGGGGAGGTTTCGTGTTCGAGACTGCCTTCAAAGCAGACCCTCGGGGGTAGGAGAACCACAAGGTCAAGGAACTCTGGCCTGGGTAGGGAGCGAGTGGAGTGAATGGGTCTTGCTTGCCAAGGTTGTGCTTTTGACTGCTTGAACAGTTGAGAACAGTTGTTTGCAGAACAATACAAACCCACTTAAACCGAGCAGTGCTCGGAGAAAGTGACCCTCCACCCAGCTACACCTGGCGAGAGAGTCCATCCGAGCCACGGGTGAGGTCTTGGTGTACCTGCTGTACCTGCTCGTGCTCCGCGCGCCTCCGCTCCTCCTCCCGGCGTATCTGCTCCTCAAAGTGCCGGCGTTGTTCCCTCTCCTGCTGCTTCCGCAGCTCCTTCTCTCTCCTTTGTTGCTAGGGGACAACAGGAGGGAAATGAGAGGACAAGCCTGAGGGGAATAGGCTCTGGGAGTGGGGTTGTGGGGAAACCAGTCCGGAGAATTGCAGAACAAAGACATGGACTCCAGAAGAGAGATTCTGAATGCTCTACGTCTCGTCCTCTTTTCCCTCTACTGGGGCACCCATTGGCAGGAGGGTGGTGACGGAGAACACCCCGCGGTTGGCTGTGGACAGAGACGTTCCAGGTTTATACAAGGACCCACAAGTTTCCGTTAAGCATGTCTGTCATGTTTCCAATTAGCTGATGGGAGTTTTCAAGCTGGGTCGCAAGCTCTAATGTAGACTAGGTACCTTATTAACTTTCATCAGGTGGTTTATGGCATTATGTGGGTTTTCAAAGCATCATCATCGTGTTACTGACATTCATTTCCTCGAACGCTGTGGCAGTTACATAGACTGGTGTCAGCTTGAGGGTATTAGAGTGAAGGGGTGGAGTTTAGCCTGTCAATCAGGTCACAGCTTGAGGATCTCATTTGGAAGTGCCACCAAGATAAATGGCTCTCTGGAGGCAGGCTACTCTCTTTCTCTCTCTGCTTCGCTGGAGGAGCCTCAGCTGAGATGCTTGCACCAGCATTGAATCCGCAAGACTTTCCACCCACCAGTATCTCTGAAGACTCCTGTGATCTTCCTGCATTGGGCATCATTACATATGCTGTGTGAGTCTGAAGAGGAATTTATGGACCAGTATCAGGCATATGGGCTAATATCAGACTTACAGACCTGATCTGGACTGGGTGGGGTGTTTTCTCAGTATACAATTGCTCTTTGATATAAAGCTCTCTCTTACACATATATGAGTGTCTCTGGATTTGTTTCTCTGGTCCACCTGGACTTACACAAGCCGTGTAAGGCAAACCTCCAGAGATAGAGAAAGTGAAAACAGATGATTGGTGACTGAGGCCACAATAGCGTTTACCGACTCCCATCCAGCCGACTACTCTTTTGCACCTGGATGTCCCTCTGCATTTTCTGGCAAATTCACTTTGCAGTGTCGACTTCTAGTTCCCACTCAATTGACACCCTTATATCCAGGAGCCATCATCACCACCGTTACCTTTGACATCATGGCCATTTCACCATCACTCAACAGTTACCTGGCCCTGGATAGTGTGGTCAACACCCTCCCTGCTTCAACGTACTAACTCTTCACAAAAATCTTCCCAGATAAATATTACTGCGATTCTGACTTCATACAAGAAAGCTGAAGCAAAAAAAAAAAAAAAAAGAAAGCTGAAGCACAGCATGATTACATAATTGTTCAAGGTCAGAGGCCCAGCAAGTGGTAGAGCTTGATTTAAAAACCAGGCAGTGTGACTGCGTCGTCTGAATGCAATCATTATGGAAGATGAAGAGGCAGCCGAAGTGACGGGAAGATCATCAGTTTCCCAGCTGTCATTATACGCTCAGGAAAGGAGAGTATCTAAGGCATAGGAGTCAGAATGAGGCTAAGCAATTACACAGGTAAACGGCTCTCAACTAGGGGTGGGACTCCCTTCCCTGCAACATTGGTGACGGTGTGAGCCCAGGATTTTTCTGGTTTTCTAGCTAGAGCTTTTTCTAGTTATCTGAAAAACTGGGGGCATGGCAGATGTTTGGCATGAGAGACCAAGGATCTCATGCCAATGGGCAGGACAGTCATGCATTATAAAGCGCTTTCCCATCCAGCATGTCACCAGCACCCCTTTTGTGTCCTTTATGTTAAAGCTTGGGGGGTCATATTCCTCAAATAGGAGGCTCAGAGGGGACAGCCCAGAGGGGTCATCCCTTCCCTTGGAATATTCTCAACCACACTTCAGTATGCGGCTGAGGGAACAGTAGGAACCGGATGATCATGGCCTGTGGCTGCATCACCCTGACCAGCTAGCTCCTGGGGACGACCCAGGAGATGGTTCTCCAGGACAACAGTTCTTTGTCAAGAGCCCGGGCGACATCACCACTGATGTTCAAACCCCAGAGAAGCCCATCACAAGGCCTCTGACACAGCTCTTGTTGTCACCTCCCCACCTGCTGTCTTCCAACTGCCTCGGGGGCTTGAAAGAGAAGCGGAATCTTTTGAGATTCAGAGCCTATCACTTCCAGATCAATAATTATTTGTGCCCCCTAGATGGCAGGCAATGGGGAGCCAGGGAAGGACTTCTTATAGCCCCATATCACGACCAGAGTTGCATTTTCAAATGGTCTTCTCTAGTCGTGGGAAGTGGCAAGACCAGAAGCTCAAGTGCAGTGAGAGGGCATTCTACTGATACAGACATGGCACATCGGGCCTCGAAAGGCAGCCTGCGGGTTCGGGCTCGCTCCTAGTCTCTGCTGAGGATGGAGAGGCAACCGAATGGAAGAAAGGCTCATTACCATTCCCTCCACTCATCCAGCTAGCAGGGCCGGAGCAGACATCCACGTGGAAGCAGGAATGAGTCCTTGGCAAATAGGCAGAGTTCGGTGACTGCGGACTGTCTGCGTGGGCCCACAGATGGGTGGTGGGAGAGGGGGAGGGGCTTGAGGCTTCCCGGGGAAGGGAGCTGGCAGATGGTGCAAACGACAAAGAAAAGCAAGTTTGGGGATGGGAGAGAGGAGCGTGCTGGGTTCCTGGGATGCGTTAAGTTCCACACATGTCATTTGTTTTGCAGAATAATCATACAGGAATTATGAGCAGAAAACATCCGCATAGGAACCGAGTGAATAATTTGGACGACAGACTCAAAACAGAGATATTTCTAACACTCAACCCAAGTGAGTCAGTGCCAGCCAGAGAATAAAATAATTATGTGTACACATCGGGCTCCTGGCAGGAAATAGCCCTAATTTAGCTAACTTTTCTTTTCTTTCTTTCTTTTTTTTAAAACTCTAACCATTCATCTCTTTCTTGAGGGGGAAAAAATAACCCCAAACAAGTCTTTTGAAGGTATAGCTGATTTTTAGGTGGACGATTTGTACATTCCCAATCCCTTAGCCAGGAATCAATACTGTTGTATAATTACATGCCACTCAGCCTCCCTGTGTACAGTACTGACTGCAGCCCAGGAGGAGCTGGGCTTCGCAAGTCCTCTGCAGCTTCAGAGAAAGACACTGGAAAGTGATTCATAATTAATAATGATCTCACCCGATCAGCTGCCGCCGGAGCACGGAGGCATCTGTCAGGGCTTCGGCTCCTGCGGTGAGGCTGGAAAAATAAATCGCCCCCCCAACCTTCCGAGCGCACCCCGCCAATTTCCAGCTGCCGGGCCTCGATGGGAAGGCCTTCCCTGGAAAAATGTTTGCTCTTTCCTCCTGTGCGCAGCTGCGTGAGCGGACAGGGCGGAATCTGTCAAAGGCAGTCCCAGGCTTGAGCCTCAGGGAGGCACCTGGACCAGGCGCTGAGGGTTCTTGCTCTAGAGGCGGCCGCTGAGAGCGGGACCAGGGCTTCATGACTGGTCACCTGCCCTTCCCTCGGGGCCTGGCACTGGGTAGGCAGGGAGAAGCGCTGGAGGAAATGAACCAAGAAAGGACCTTGGGGCAAAATAAGACAACCCAGCATCGTCTTAAATGACAATGGGCACAGTCTCCCTCCTCTCAATACTGAACAGCTTACATCACACTGTACCCGAGGACTCCCTGGGTGGTACACAGAATTAAGCATGGGGCTGCCAAAGGGAAGGCTGAAAGTTCAAGCCGACCCAGAGACGCCTCCGCAGAAGGACCTAGAGAGCAGCCCGAGGCCTCTGGAGCCCACCTCTCCTCTGACACGCATGCGCGGGGTTACCCGGAGTCAGCTTCAAACCGACGGCAACAGACACTGGATGTTAACAGTTACTAGACTGTCTTGGCTACTCTGAAATCTCCTTTGAAGGTTTTTGGTGGGCAGGGTCTCTGATCCGCTGCAGTTTTCATTCTCCACTGTATATCCCCGGTGCGCACATTCTCCAGTGTGTGTCTCACACTGCCCCCCAGCACCGTCAATATCTGTTGTGTCCAACACTGCAAGTTGGATGGGAAGAGAAGGGAAGACAGCCTTGTATAGCTTAGGCCTTTGACATCCTCCTGTGTCCTATCACACCTTCGGAAAGTAGTCCCTGACAACTCAAGTCAGACTCCCCGCCACGAGTCGATTCCAGCTCATAGCAACCTACAGCACAGAGTAGAACTGACCCTGTGGGTTTCCAGAACGTTAGATCTTTAGGGGAGTAGAAAGCCGCATCTTTCTCCAGCTGAGAGGCTGGTGGTTTTGAACCGCTGACGTGGCAGTTAGCAGCCCAAGGAGTAACCCACTCTACCACCAGGACAATATTAGCTTCTACATCTGGCATTGGCTTGCTAGTGATTTGCCATCTTAAAGAATGGCAAGAAATAAAGTAAGGGAGTAAGCATACAATCAGCTGGAAGGTGTGGAGGAGGGGATCATAAACAGTCTTGTAAATTTTACTCAAATCATGCCCTAATGGTAATAGGGGTCCTGTCAAAAAAAGGCTTAAACCAAGAACTCAGACTCCCGGCAGATGCTTCCGCTGTACCTGCGCACACATTTCCATCCAGACCTTCTTGGAGGTGTGGCCAATCAGGGCTGCTGCTTAAAAGTAGGCAGACAGAGAACCATGATCGATTCCTAATTCTCTCCCCCTCACTAGTGGAGGATTGAGAATACCTCCTCTGAATGTTCTCCAGGCTAACGTCACCATTGTCTTCCTCTGTGGGGTGCATTTCTGGGGCCTTCGTCCCCTCTTTAGTCTTCTGCTGATGTGTTTAACAAGCATGAAATGTTTTGGGAAAATTTGTAAATTGTGGTAAATATATATATATATACACACATATATATAAATATATAAATCTTTGCCAACTTTTATATGTATATTCAACAACAATGCCTATTTTCATCATGTGACACTACCATTGTCACTACATTTCCAAATGATCCCACCACCATTAACACAGGTTCCATGTCCCCTAAGCAATGGTCCACCAAGGGCCTCACCCTTGGTCACCGC